CAGCCCCCATCTCTTAATTAAACACCTTGAACAAAGCAACTGTAGATAATTCGGCTAATTAACTAAAATGTAATAAACATAATCTTAATAAGTTTGATTAATCGTGTTCACAATGCAGTGATGAAAGCTATTGCGTGATTAGCGCAATAGCGAGGGGGAGGCTTATGGTGAGGTGAGGGGGTGAGGGGGGAGGCTTATGGGGCTTCGCCGCCCCTCCCCCCCCGCCGAATCCGGCGGGCCCTAGAATATACATACAAATCTTGACACTCTCCCCACCCCTTCTCCCCACCCCTCCCCCCCCCCCCCCCCCCCGAAGTCATAAACATTCCAACTACCTCAATCGCTCTCCCCCCTCACCCCCTCAAAAGTTCCTGGCTACACTACTACTATCAGCAGCACTCTATAGATAGTCAACATTATCAGGATAAGCGAAATTTCATTTATTTTATGCACCACATAGGCAGTGTTTCTGTCCTTATATGCATGCAGGCAAAGTACACACTTCAGAAAACACTTGTGTGAATGCTGCGTTCACAATGCAGTCCCCGTCAAACTTTCAAGGCTTTAACAAATTTCACGAATGAAATTTTCAACGAAACGCGTTAGTTTTGCAAAACGCTGGCAAACTTACATTGCGTTTTAAATCATTCACCTCGATGAATGAACAGTCAGCGCTACACAAAGCTCAATGTGCTTGTCGTTTGTTTTCTTGACGCTGGGGCTCGCTGGCGGTCGTGGCGGCAGTACAATTCTTTCTCAGACCGTTAGCTGCTGCCTCCGTGCTCGCGGAAGCGTTGGCCAATTTGTGTCAAGATGAGGTTTTGAATCTTGACGCATGGCACCGCTGAATGAGGGTCTATTACCGTCTTCATAATATCAGTAAGGCGGACGTTACGAGCCACAACAACACCACTTTCAAGCTTCATAACACAGGCACAAATAGAAGCCATGTCTTGCATCTCGCCAAGTGTGATATCAGAGACGTTGAACGCCAGATCACCGTGCTCTTCGACCCGCTCCTGCCGCCGAATGGGCTCATCCAACAGCACGAAAGCATTCGGGTGCGCGTAGATCAAGTTACCCATCGCACGTCAAACCCCAGCCGTGGTCGATCCGACAAGCATCGCGGCCATGTTCTTTCGAGATTATCTCGGCAAGGGTACGGTTGTCGAGTTAAAACAATGCAAATACTCCCGTGCATTCTTGTTCTTAAGTCATTTTGTCGTCACAACACGAACTCAAAAAGCGACTGTTAGCGGCAAACAGAGGCGTTCTAGTTTCACGAACGTTCCCATGGCAAAGAGCGTTGAATCGTCACGCGCAATGAAGCCAATGGGACAGCGAGGTACCTATGTAGGGCGTGTAAAAACGTGGAAGTCTTTTTTATTTTTTTTTGTACTAGCTTTTATGCAAAAAAGAAGTAGGTAAAAAAGAGTGACCGAGATGATCCGGTCGCGTCCATTCTTTCAGCACCGAAAGAAAGGAGCATGGCTTATGGGTACTACCGTCGTAATTACTGCAGTGAGCACAGGGAACAAAGCATTATTAAAACTGCCCGAAGAAACTTTCCTGCATCATCCATAGCATGTTCACAACCGGTGCACACTGCGTCGATCCCACGACTAGTCATATACAGCCGGTGTCGTCCTCAGCGCCGTATCCATTTGGAGTCTCCTTCACAGGCAAACAGGACATTTAATTTGCAGCTTAAGTTCACGGCGGCTTCAGAAAAGATGATCGGTGTCGCAGCCGTACCTTCACATAATTTCTTCTCGTAATGCCATCCGTATCGTGCGGAAACAGGGAGAGCAACGACGCAAAGGGGGCACAAACACCCCAAGGTCGTTACCGCGGTTTTCGCCATGTTTGTATTGAAAGACCGTAACGAAACACTTGGAAAAACCAAGTTGAGATATCTTAGCAAAATTTACTTTACGTCATAATTACTGAAATAACCTTTCGTATTTTATGAAAGAATAATATTATTTTTCTCTGTTTCCTTCCATTTTCCGGAAGTTAACCTTTTCTCCATTATTCGCTCGGTCTAAGTCGCGGAGAAAAGAAAGAAGATAACAAAGAGAAGAAAGGGAAATGCGGAGATTTCTGCGTCCCAACTGCATGGACACGTCATCGCGACGTAGGGGATCGTCAGATTCTAGCTGACCGCGTGCGTGAACCCGAACGTTGGGGCGGAGCCTCAAACAAGAATCATTCTAGTTTGAGGCTCCGCCCCAACGTTCTGGTTACGTCACTTTCTTGTTTGCGACCAGAATCGCACCCCTGGTTGAAATAAGACATTTTGAACCAGCATGCAATCAGCGCTATGCGTAGTGCACAGGAGCAGGTCATGCTCACTGCAATTGCATGCCTTTCAGTGTAGTTAAGGCATTGTCTACGCTTCAGAATCGACTCAAGTATTCTCGTTGTAGAAATTGGTCTAAGAGTTGAAGGGTCGTGACAATGTCGTGTTGCTCTACTGCCAACAGAAGACGACCGGCGGCCAAGAGAAATTTGTTAACGTTTTAGCCCTGCCCTATGTTTTGTGAACTTCCTCTCATTGACTCTCGAGCGCAACCGCATTAAAAAGCACTGCCTGCCAAATGAAATTAAATTTGATTGCTTATCAATAAATGTAATTGGAATTTCATTAAAAAAACTTTAAAATTTTCATCTCCTGCAATGTCAATAAAGCAAGGGCCAGTTCCAACAGACGTGACGTGGCACAGGATAACGGACTGCGCGCCACTATACGGTTTGCCTGAATATATTTACTGTCTCTACAGTGTCTGCTATATCATCGCCACCAAAGCTGAATACTTGCGCAACGACACAATTTGCAAGCAGCTGTTTGTTTCTTTCTGTGGGAGCGCAATTGGGGCAGGTGTCAGTTGATGCAACATCCCTGCCAACTTGTTCCTAGCAGGCAACATATTCTAACCAACTGGCAACTATTCCTTTCGACGGGCAACTATTCCTTTCGAAATCACCTGCGGACTATGTGCTCGAAGTTTACTTGGTGATTTAGAGCCTGCGATACAGATTAACGTCTTCCAGATTCGAACAAAACCTGCCAGGGTCGGCCCGGCATTAGAGTATATGAAAGAACGACCCTGTCTTTTTTTTTTTTTTAACACACGAGTAAATTTGGAAACCATAGTTTATTTCCTTCACAATCCTTATTACCTTAATTTTTCCCCTTTTTTAGCACTATAGAGGAAAGAAAGAAGTGTCAATACGATGCAAGTTTTTGGGTAGATTTGTGTTGACACTTCAAACAGTGAAAACAAAATATCTGCAAAACAATTGAGCACTTAACCTTGTTTATCTTCCGTTGAATGGTCCTGGTTTTTCATTGTGGAGGCGAAGGCGCAACAGACTAAATTCAGCAAGTGTAGCTGACGTCGCGACGTCCATAAGATTCCTCGATACTGTAGATGTTTGCAAGTGTCTTTTACATCTCCTTTACATGCATTTTACGTGTCATGTTGCATGTCTTTTGCACGTCCTTTACGTATCTTTCACGCCTCCTTTATGCGTCTTTTGCAAGTAAGGAGAACGAACGCGTACAACAACCATTACGTTGGAAAAAAACTCTCTGTCGCTGTTCCGCTATACAATGTCATTGTTATCTAGAACTTACAATGTGAGACTGTAGCAAAATGATTTGTTGGCCTAGTTGGTTAAACATTACGAAAATCAAAAAGCGCAAAAGACAAGGACAAGAGGGAGACAACACAGGACAAGCGCTTGCCCGAGTGCCGGTCCCTACTCGAAAGCGCAATTCATCTAGTGGCTACGTTTTGTTCCTGCTTCAGCGTGTCTGCAGGTCGGCTCACGCGACGGAAATTTCAGCATGTATAAACAACTAAAGCGCTTGTCCTGTGTTGTCTCCCTCTTGTCTTTGTCTTTTGCGCTTTTTGATTTTCGTAATATTACAATGTGAGGGCAGGGGACCTACAATTTTGCTACTCGTACAAAGCGCAAAATGTTTTTTTTTTTATTATTATCATTTTTCAAGCACTTTAGTTGTTTATACATGCTGAAATTTCCGTCGCGTGAGCCGACCTGCAGACACGCTGAAGCAGGAACAAAACGTAGCCACTAGATGAATTGCGCTTTCGAGTAGGGATCTTTTAGCCATATTGTTGCGCAGAATCAACGTTGCCAGTAGTCACCAGGTTCTACCAACGTGCATGAAGGAAGATGCAGGAAGTGCTATCCGTCGTCGGGCTTGCCAAAAACGTTCACAACAGAGCAAAACGATACCAACTCCGTATCTGTGCTTCTTAAACCGTTACATTCGAAACCTTTATCGTTGCAAACGACCCTCGTGTGGCTTTAACCCTGTGGGCACCCTGGCGGCTCCTCAGCCCAGTTGCCCGACTGCGGGGCACAGGTGGCGAACTTTTCCCGCGTGGCGGCGACGTCACGCCGGTCACGCGCACATTGTATGCGCCGCCTAGATAAGGCGGACGAGAGGCGGCACACGGGGAGTCGCTGCCTGGACTCAGGCGCCGCTGGTAACAACGTTAATCGTCTCGTCCATGTCCCATTGAATGTAGTTTCTTGTTGTTGAAACCGTTGGCTCCGTGTTATTCCTCCGGGTCGGGTATGCAGCAAGGCAAACCGATCACAACCCTCAAAATGGCGACTTCTATAAACTGCTCATAAGTGTACAAATATCACGTGACGCAAGAAAAAACCAACGACCGATTATCCGCTGCTTCGAACAATGAGGGAAAATGATGTCGATATCCTGGGCGTAGCTTTCTAGATCCTCTAGAACAGAGGTTAGCGATCTCAACGCCCGTTGCCCAATATATAAGAGGTTCCGACATCCCTGTCGCACCAATCTGAGATCAACAAAAATATAACGTCACGAAAAAAAAAAAAAGACTAACACCAGAGGTGGATCCGTTTAACATAGAAGCGGGAGGCACGCACGTTTGTCTGTTCGTAATGCGGCTAAACATTTTTGTGTATACGGATGTTCACGGCAGTCACGTGATCCAGGAGCCCCACGTTCCGTTGAGGTTTTCGGGATATCCGTTGGGATCGGTAGGTTGGTTGATCGTGGCCGCGGCAGTCTGCGCGTAGCTCTGTATTCTGCCCCTCAGAAAAGCCACCAGCTGAAACGGACAACAGAAACTCGAGGTTAGTGGATGTGTTCCGCATCGACAACGATTCGAAGTTTCTTACTAGTGATCTAGAAATAACATCTGCCACGTATAGGATGCCCCAGTACTGCGATTCTACATAAAATCTAGAGAACACGACACGGCGCGATAAAGCTGTCGTCAGTTCTGCGCTATAGGTTTCGTTTTTCTCTCACGATTCCTAGGCTGTTTCTAAAACATCAGTACGTCGTGCCGCATTAGAGAGCTTTAGAACAGCGTAAATGTTATCATTCGTTCTGTTATCAGCGTTCTGTTATCACGTAAATGTTATCAGCGTTCTGTTATCACCATGCGCGACGCACACAAGCTCTCAGCGGAATGCTGCGGAGCGCGTCAAACCGGCGCTTTTAGCACAGCGGAACGAAAACGCATACGCAAGCAGTTGTAGCGTCATCTAAATATGCCCATGCAAACTATCTGTATTCGGTCGAGCTACACTGTACTCTTGTCAATCTGACTCTCCCATTGTCCTGCATGCGATGAGGGCAGCAAGAAAGAAACGCAAACAACCACTGGTTAGTCTGCATTCCCGAGCCGTATACCTGCATTCGAACCTCACAAATTCGGTATAAAAATGTTCATGTGATATTTGTGATGTAAAAGTACCTTTTCCGAAATAATTTTGTATTGACTATTTCTTTTACTTTTTTGACGAATCTTTGAATTTTGGGAAACAGAGGCCCCAGGAAAACGTTTTCAAACGATACTGCAAAAAAACACCGTTTTTAGTAGGTCAATATATTTTCTAAATTATCCCAATATGTTCACCTACGTATTTCCGAGTTTTTCTTTATTTTTAAGGGCGCGGATGCGCTGAAAATTGGATAAAAATCTGAATTCAAAAATACGCTACTTTATGAACACTACTTTATGTGTGTTAGTAAGAAGAAAAGCGAAACATATTAAAATATTTTGATAAAAACGTTCTTACAGTGTTTTCTCGAATAAATTGAAAATATTAAACATATTACAAAATACTCAGTATACAAAAATTATAAAGGTGATCAGTCTAAATATACGTACTCATGGCTCGGGCCATATATAGCCTAGAAGACACACAGCAAACGAGCAATATTAGAAAAAAATGCATAGTTTTAAAAGCGAAAAAAAAAAACAATTTTTTAATTCGGTTAATTGCCAGTTCTTAAAATATTGCAAAATATCTAATTTTGGACTCAGAAACTCCATGCTTGATGTATGTTTGAAGAAATACTTTCCTCCGACTCATTTCGCTTTACATTCAGACAGCATTCAGCCTATGCCTCCTTTAACTTCTCCACCTCAAGGTATTTCCAAAAATATTGGAAACCTTCGGGCCAGTAGCTCTACAGGTGAAAATCAGATTTCTTCGAGATTCTTTAAAGTAGCGAAGGTCTTGATATCTCCAGTTGTTTCACTATTTTTTTCCGCAAAGCCTCGACTCGATCATTGTTCCAAGGGATTAGCGCCATGATCAAGTAGTACCTATCCTTAAAACCGGTCCATCATCAAATCCTTCCAACTATAAACCAATATCGCTCACCACTGAGCCCTCTAAAATTATGGAGCACGCCGTAAATATGCACCTCCTTGCTCATCTAGTGCGATTCAACTTTTTGTTTAGAAACCAACACGGCGTTGATAAAGATCACTCATGTGTTGTCCGGCTATCCGAGTTAATTACTAATCTTCATGACAATCCTCATGACAACCACCAAACCGATATCATCTTCATCGAGTTTGCCAAAGCTTTTGATTCTGTCCCAAATAGTCGATTCCTGCTAAAGCTATCACATCTCTGTATCGAACCGCGCATCCTTGACTTGATCGCGACATTCCTTTCTATGAGAGCCCAGCCGGTAAAAACAATCATATCTCTTTCTTACCAATGCTAAGTGTCATCTGGTGTACCGCAAAGGAGCGTTCTTGCGACTCTTCTCTTTCTAATATATGTCAATGACCTACCTTCTATATTAACGTCCACAATTAGACTTTTTGGTGATGGTTGTGTCATATATAGAACGGTATCCAATGCGTCTGATCATTTAATATTGCAAGATGACCTTGATAGAATTGGTACTTGGTGCACTGATTGGCTCATGAACGTTAACATTTAAAAAAAAAAAGTAAACGCATGAACATTTCCACATCACCAAGTAGATCGTCTACTATTCCCTATTAGCACGCAACATTGACAGAGTGTCTTTTTCTAAGTACCTAGGCGTCCACTTTTAAGAAACACTCAACTGGTCTCATCAAATAGATAGAATGGTAGCGAGTGCTCACAAAACGCTCGGCTTCTTGAAAAGAAATGTATATCTCGCACCTCCGTCTATTAAATTGCTTGTTTACAGGTCATCAGGCATAACTTGTGGATAAACTCGAATCTGTCCAGAATAAGGCAGCCCGAATTATTTTCTCTGCGTGACTACTCACCATTCACTAGCGTCACGTCATTAAAACACAAACTCGGTCTACTGTAGAAAAATGTCGACAGCTGTCACGAATATGTTTGTTTCATACAATTTTCTATAGCGCATTAAGTTTTAGGCAGATGCACTGCAAACCTCCCTTCTATATATCACCAAGAACTGATCACCAACTCAAGATTCAGTCGCCTAAATCCTCATCGCCGGTCGTCATGTGTATTAGCGATTGGAACGGTAAAGATAACCCAGCAGCATATAAATTAAAGTGTCAAGAATACCGTGGAATACGCAATTTGCAAGCTGTCTTTGCTTCAGCATTCATTTACTTTGCAAGCTGTTGTATCTTCGTGCATTTTTTGCGTCTCAATGTGTTTACTGTCTTTTTTTTTTTTTTTTTTTGCTTACACCGATTCAAATATGTTGTAATCAGTGTGTCGAACCGAAAAAAATACGGGTTCGGTTACGGTTCAGGTTCAGGTAAATTTATTTTGTTCCGGTTCAGTTCCGGTTCGATTAATTCGATCCGCGAACCGGTTCGCGAACCGGTTCGGAAATTATAAATGACAAATTGCAACATCAAAATAATTTACAAATAAAACATCTGAAATCAGCACATACGAAACGGGATACATCGTAGTGTAGGGCTCAGGGATTTCTACCAGGAATGGTTTCTTTATGTGCACTCGAAGGTTACCTCACCGACGTTTACGCATTCGGACTTCATCGAATTGGGTCCGACGCAGTAGCTGTAAAATCCGCGACCTCCTTACAAACCCACTTACAAGTAGAACTCGCTAACTGTCCCGCCACCTCGGCGTGTAAGCAATTGAAGGAACAGTGGGGAGAAAATACAGCTTTCTTTATTTGAACTAGCCTTCGGTAACTCAAATTAGACCCTTAAAGACGTTTTCATTAAACAAGATACGGAATATGAAAAACACTTCACCGAACGCAAAGCCAGAAGGACGTAATAGGATAAATATTATAATAGAAGAGTTCGCTGTCTCACAAATATGTTAGCTTCTAAGTGCCTGTACGAAACCGGATGCATTATTATCAAACTCCACAGCCTTTTCTTTTCTCATTCCGATGGAAGCAAGCTTCAAGAACTCGCGCGTTCTAGAAACGTTATGAAATGAGCACACAGCAGCATTTAGGATTTACGAGATTGTAGGAAAATAAAATCCCGTGTTTTTGCACAGCCTTCCTGTTCTCTTTCTTCCGTGCAAGCCGCGACCAGCGCAATACTGGTTGCTTTGTCAAGATTCGTGGATGCAGCGTTTGTCAAGATTCATGGATGCAGCGTTTATATTCCTAAGACTGAGTGGAGAAGAAAAATACGTAAGCGAGGTGTGTGTCAGTCGACGGCACTTAAAAAACAAATGGCATTGATAGCACATTCATTGTCAACAGCGGGTGGCCGAACCGTTTTGACATGAGCCGGTAACCGTTATTTTTTTTCTGGTTCAGTTCCGGTTCGGGTTCATCGCGATAACAATATAACGGTTCGGGTTCCGTTCCGGAAAAAATACCGGTTCGGTTCCGGTTTTCGGTTCGGTTCGGTTCCGGTTCGACACCCTGGTTGTAATATACAATACTGCCACATAATACGTATTCCGCAATTTCCCCTGTTCTTTTGCGTGCACGCTTTTCTCAGTGCTTGCAAGTATATAGTATACACGAAAAAATTGTTTTGAAGTTTTCCTATATGTATGCTATGAATTTCCGACTTCATGTAACGCGCTCTCAATTCGAATGCCTTAGAGGTAAAAAGATTAAATGAAATTTATGTAGCTCGTAACTATGACAACGAACGAGCAAAGTTTGAACGAAATATTATTTTCTAAAAGCTAGATAATATATATATATATATATATATATATATATATATATATATATAAGTCAAAGATGCGTACTGTCGGAGTTACTAATTCGAAGTTTATTACGACGGCTCGAAACGTTGTAATAAACTTCGAATTAGTAACTCCGGCAGTACGCATCTTTGACTTATTAACTTTTCCCGGTCCATTGTTTTTATATTTACCTTACTTTACCTATATATATATATATATATATATACATTGGCCCAATGCAATTTTATAGCGCCTACCCTACTGAAAAAAAGTATATGAATCTATATAAGAACTGATATAAAATATCTAAAAACTGATATGCGACATATGAAACTGATATGAAATATCCAAAAACTGATATGCGATATAAGAACTGATATGAAATACCCAAAAACTGATATGCGACATATAAGAACTGATATGCAACATATGCCAACTGATATGAAATATCCAAAAACTGATATGCGATATAAGAACTGATATGAAATACCCAAAAACTGATATGCCACATATAAGAACTGATATGCAACATTTGCCAACTTATATGAATGTGTCCAGTAAACATATAAGAAATAAATTCATATAAGTTTTTTCAGTATACGACGTGCCGCGCGATAAAGCAAACATGTGACTTGGAACCGCAGTGGAGCGGCTTGATTTACTGGCTTTCAAATAATTACGGCATGAGCGTTTACTTTTTATTAAGAGATTCGTCCCCTGAGCCGTTCTAAATACTCTAAGAGGAACGATCATTACTGAAAAAAATCCAACACGCTGAAAATATTATTTATTGCGTAGGTGGTCACCCGAAAAACTCCGTACTTACAAAACGACCTGTATAAAAGGCGGAAACGCAGAGCTCCGAAGTAGTTATTGGGTGTGCTGTTGTATTCATGTTTGTTGTGCCGTGTATGTGTATACTCAATGTATATGTTCAACTGATGCTAGTGGTATGCGTAATGTATCTACATGGTGGCGCGAGTAAATAAATATATTTTTGCAGCACATGAATTGGGCGGTAGCTAGCGCCACGTAGCCTCGTGTAACTGATATGCGGCAGAGGAAACTGATATGAAATACTAAGTTCTGATATGAAAAAGGTGTCCAATAAACATATCAGAAAAAAATTCATATAATTTTTTTCAGTAGGGTAGTCTTTTGTTGGGCAGGGGCCTTTTGCGACTCAAGGTGGTTTCTTGAACAAAAATTATCTTCAGTAAAAACTCCCTGAACACGAAATTCGCCATTAATTTTGTGGTTCTTTTCTTTTTGTGCACTTTCAAATCAAATATGTTTTTTATACCAAAAACTGTTTTATTTTGATAAACGCCTCGGAGGATGAGGTAAAAAGCGACTAGAGAAGCTCTCAGTGTTGGCTCTCTCATTTCGCTTAGTACGCTTAAATATTTCGCTTACACAGAAATGTCATGAAAATAGCCTAAGACATAACTTGAGACCTTTCGGCAAGATCGGTAAGTGTCATGTTTCATGGATGAATGAAGGTTCCCTGAAAACCCCAATAACACAACATAACGACGCGGGTCTGAGATTGCTCTTATGAAGATGCAGGCGGCAGGACTACCTCCCACTATGGTCGTTTGCTTTACACATCTGACCACAGTCCCGGGCAAGGTTCGACGGCAGGGAGGAGCCTCAGTTGCCCCCACCTTCAGGGCGGGCTTCCCACTTCGACAATGCTTTTGGCGCCACGTGCACTGCGGAAAAAAGCACGACGGAAGGTACGGAGAGCGTGCTGGAGGTCGGGTGTTCGAAGGACACTCCCTATTGTTCTCAATCTGTCAGGTACTACAGTTGGATTCGTCTCCTTTGTAGTTCAGTGGCGTCGTTGCTGACTCATGCAGCAATTTGCGTGTCTGCTTCGAGGCGGAGACGCAAAAAGATCTCAATTAAGAATAAATACTACATTTAAAAATTTCGCTTCTATTTCTTTTTTTTTTAATTTTAAACTACGTACAGCCGTTCTGCGTGTATTTTTAAACCAAACACCTCTTTATTAGTTTTTTTTTTTTTCGGACAGAGCTTTTTTTTTAATTTGTTAAATACTTGCATTCAACAAAAATATTTTTCTTTTGCTTTCAGGAAATAGTACGCTTTTGAAACTTGGTTTGTTTTCTGAGTTATTAACTACATATAACCGTAGGGTATGCATTTTTCGACCGAACGCCTTTTTATTTTTGCTTTGAAATCTGAATATTTTCTAATATTTTCACCACTTGCAATGAGCCAAATTAAAAAAAAATATTTTTTCGGTTTTAAGAAATTATAGTTTTACTCGTTTGTTGCGTGTGTGTTGTAGACTACCCAATAAAGGGACACTGACAGGGTATTTATGCTCGCCAAAGTTTTTCTTTGTACATGACATATGAGAGCCCAACCACCATTGCGGCTTGAAATTCGCTCTCTTTCCGCCCGAAACACGCTGATCGAGAACTGGCCGGTTTGAGACGCGCTAACTCCCTTCTCAGTGGTCACGCGCCGTTCTCTATGGTTTAGGCACGCACCCACCCAATATGATCAAAGTCGTGGGTCATCAAGTACATACACTCAATATTAAAAACAAAACACACAAAAAAAAACATGATACCTATTTTTTGTGGCTTCTAACAAACTGCGAATACGTTGTCGAAAGAAAACGAAATAAAGTTGGACACAGAACCGGATGCAGTGTGTGCATATTCTGCCTAACTCTAAACATGGCGTCGTATTGCGGAAGTCGCGGGCTGGACGGCTAAACGAAGCGGCCTAAGCGATGGCTGCGGACGACGGGCGTGAGACTTCAGAACTGTTGTTCGCCTTATCGGGCAATTCGTCTAGCTTCGAAAGAGAAATATTTTACCGATTAAAACAATTAGGATTTATTACGTACGACAGGCCCGACCACCAAGCTGATTCGCACCAAGACGTCGCCGAGTTGTCGCCCCTTCTCCTGGCTGAAGACATTGCTCGCCTTACGAACAAGAATTGGCAAGAGCTTGAAAAACGCGCAAACGTTAAGCACGAAGTGCTTGAATTATTTTGTTTTTCATGCATCGTTCAACGTGCGCGTTTTTTGATTAACTTGGAACAAAAAAAAAAAAAAAAAACACGCTGTTGGGTGTAGCCACGTGACTTCCGGTAACTTTCTACTCACTAAATTGCTTCTTCCGCACCAGTCCGGTTTTGGTTTCGGTTTCGAACAATTGCGTTTTTGACTTTATTAAAAAAGAAACACGTGACGCTGTAGCGAAAGATTTCTCGGGTAGTCTTCTGACACCCTAATAAATCGCCTGACAAAAAAATAAAAACAAATTTTTCTGGGGCTGCCAGTGTTGCTTGAAGCGCACTGCTCATACATCATACAAAGGACAGTCTGCAAACAGAATTGAACGCAAGTCACCGCGAGATCCGTGCTTCGAATGCCGCGGGGCCATGAGTTCAAGGCGAAACTTGGCATTCGGCATTCGAACCACGGATATTGCAGTCACTCATGTTTGCAGACTGTCTTTTGTATGATGTATGAGGAGTGTAACCCCGGCTTAACTGTTGAGATACATATTTCTAGACCGACCATGTTTTTGATATTTTAACTTAATATTTTCCTATATGTTTGAAATTGTTCATTTATCTTAAGACGCATATTAACAATTTTTTTATCAAAATATATTTCTGATATATTTCGTATCTTTTACTACTAACACAAGTTTCAAGTCTTCAGATGGTAGCGTGCTTTTAAGATAGAAGTTAATTTTTATGACTTGTTCAACGCACCCACCCTGGCACTTGGAAATGCGTAACAAAACACACGAAATAATTTGGAATAATATTTTGACCTACAAAAAAAAAAGGTAACTTATTTTTGAAATTTTGTTTCAAACGTTTCTTAAAAAAAGTCGTGTCTTCTACCCCCTGGTACTTGTTTGCCGGAAAATTCAATGTGTCGCAAGAAAAAATAGTTATTGCAAAAATATATAGGAAAAGGTACTTCTGCATTACCAATAACAAATTAAGTTTTTTTTAGACCAAGTCTTTAAGGGTCAAATTTAGGCCTGGATCGTTTGGCTTCTGGTGGCGAATTACAAAGTCAGACCGATGGTGGTAAGAAGTAGAAATTCCTGCAAACAAAATGAAAAGAAGTTACCCCTGCCTGCGAACTGGCAATGTTGTTGATCTCGCAGGGGTCGCTGGCCAGGTCGAACAAGTACGGCGGATCCAAGGACACGAAGTTCTTGGGCACTTTGTTGCCGCAGTCGAGCGTCGCCTTCTCCCGCCACTGGTCGGGAAACTGGAGGTCTCCCTTGTTGCGAAGGTCCCTCAGAACCCTGGCCGCTGTGGACTGGACCATTAGGAGGTCCAGGTCGTCGTAGGGACGCGAGCCTCCTGTGGTCAGGAATCGCGGGTCGTACTGCCCGTCGTTGGTTCTACCGAGGACCAGCTTGTAGTTGGTGTAACGAAGAGCCGAATTGTTGTTGATCGGATCGATGTTGTACAGGATCTCATAGCGCGGTGACGCGTATCCGAGGGACAAGGGCGCCCACATATCTGTGCCGTCCAGCTTTCCCAGCGACAGGGGATCTTCTCCTGTGAGTGAACAAGGGACCATTCTCGGAAATCGGCGGGTCAGGAGGTGAAAGCACGCGGGCACGTGCTCACGCCTGCGCAAGCGAACCCTAGGCCACGGTGTAAGATATATGCAGTTGAGGATCTCACATCACGGCTAACGCGGCGACGCTAACGACCAGATAAAGTCCTCTTGGCGTGCGCCCGTGTAGCCTTAGCCAACACCGTCTACGCAGTCCAGACGGGGGAACTAAGGGGAAAAAAAGTTTCTTATCCCCATGGCACCTGGCCGCGTGCTTTTTCCGCTCGTGGCGCCTGCTCTGACATTGACGGACGCTGGCTTGAACACAGTGCCAGAGATCTCTCCGCTTCAACATGCTCATAAAAATTGCCACCGGTGAGGCACGAAACCAGAGTCAATGACGAAGCAGTGTCTGCGCAACACGGGTAGCGCAAGTGCCAAGTTCTGCATCACGTAGCCCACACAAAAAACTACCTTAAAGACCAGCATATCTTCCATGGAGAGGCATAGGAAACCTGGCACGCGACAGGCTGCCATCAGCTACACATCGAGGAGCCATATCTGGTGGCGTCGCTTGCAACCAGGAGAAAGGGAGGACTTCATCTGGCAGTTGCGACGCCCACTGTGTCCACACTTATGCACATATTCGACTCCGTGCCCTCGACCAGAGAAGATAAATGCTGCTAGCCGCAGTGACCTATACTCCATTTCAAACATGTCTGCAGTTAAGACACTCTGCGTGATTCAGCAGAATGCTTCTGGTATACGAAAATTAACGAATTGGAGTGCGCTGGTTAGTAACAGGGATAAAAGGGTATTGGTCGGATCAAAGGCACTTTCCAACGCCAAGCGCTCGCGCCCATGCCTTTGTCAGCGCTGTATATATTTATGAGATGCAGTATACATTGGGATCCCCCAAAGTACTTGTTGTGCTTATTGTGGCCTATCGTTTTGCCCCCAAATTCGATCAAAGACGTTTTTTTCTCCCTTCTCCTGATTCGCCGCATTGTTTGATCCTCGGAATTCTCGAACCGTGTGTTCGACCAGGGGGCGCCACTTTTTTTTTTCTATAAGGTGAATTGGGTTAGTATTGATTACACCGCGTATTGAAGACGACTTTATTTTCGCGGCCTCGAATAGTTCGAGAATATTTTGCGAAGTGTGAGTTCGGGGAATTTTTTAGCGGGCACAAAATCTCGGGATAGGGAGGGGTAGGCTACGAAATCGATGCCAAATGGGGTTATTTTCGCGTGAATAATTTCTCGCGGTATATTTCGAGTCGCAAAACTCGCGAAAATAAGGTCCTTGGGAAGATGGACTAGTTTATAAAGTGTTGATATTGTCAGAGAAGTGGCAGATGTTAGGCTCCAACATAAATTTAAAAAAAAAAACTTGGGTATTGTAGTATTTTAGGGTGGAAAACTAATAATAAAAAATCAAATCAAGCAAATTTATTTGATTTAAACCAGATTTATTTTATTTAAACCATACTTATTTTATTTAAATCACATTAATTTCATTTAAATCACTGTAACTCAAAAGTAATGATTATTTATTACAATTGGTATTTTTAAAGGTAGGAATGAAGCTCAACGCTTTGATTGCTCAAAAGACCTCTGATTTTTGCTAGTGTTCAGCTTGATTTAAATATTTCTTTCTCGATAATTATTTGATTTAAATAAAAACAAATGCACGCAGAAAGAAAGCACCAACCGATAGAAATAGGGTAAATAAAAGTATAACTGTCGCCATTATTCTTGCGGAAAAGGTTTGATTTTAATCATCATGATAAAACAACTCTTACTTAAATAAACATGGGAATCTCGATTTTTAACTGACCTTTATTTTTATCCTCCACCCTCGTTTCGTAAAACCTAATTGTACATCACATATTTTTAGGGTGCGTTAAAAAATATATTCCGAGAGTAGAGCCACAGCTGTCTTTCCGAACAAACAATCACTCATTCCGGCAATTTGCGTCCGAAAATTAAAATTTGATATCGCCACATGCAGGCGTCGACTTTTCCGGTCGATTTTAGAGCGAACCGCCGGAATCGACGACGCCCTATTTTTTGTTTTGCTATAGATATTTTTCGCATTTACCTATTATACGAGCAGAGCGTCTCTTGGCAGACATGCCGCTAATTCATCACAAAAAAAAAAAAAAGGTGTGTGGGCTTTGTTTGAGGGATGTGTCTTTGTGGCACGGCGACCCCGTTCGGTTGGTCAGACCAAAAACGGTCTTTATACGTGCTCGAAACATGTATGAAGCAAACGCGCTTCTCGAGGCCTGTCTGCAGTGAGTACGAGGCAGTTCTGTGACAAACCCGTCTGCAGCGAACCACGCACGTCTTCCGTAAGATGGCTGAGCAGCGCGACTACTACGGCTCGTGAGAAAAGCGATTAAGTCCCGCTTGACCGACACCTTTCCAGTCAATAAATTGCTGCGACAGCCGAGGCGCCACAGTCTGGCGCACACAGTTGCCTGCCGCGTTTAAATTTCGCGGATTTGCGTCCCGCTAGGGTTAGCGGACGAGGTTCATACGAGACACAGTGCCGTCAGGGGGCCCTAATCTACGCGGCCGGACCGAGCGGGGCCAATCGACACCCGGATATCACACTGCCCGGCTGCGATTGGCTGCAGCTCCGGATCGCTGACCAATCGCGGTGGGCGGCGATGTCCCGCGGTCCCTCGGTCGTCACGCGACACTCTGGCGTCACGGAACGATGTGAGGTCACGTGACACAATGACATCGCTGGACACCGTGACGTCACGCGACCCTAAAGTACCCCCCCCCCCCCCTTCGAATTGAGCGGAGGGAAAATTTACCGTTAAATTTAGGGGCGAAATTGTGACGTCGGGTTCGGTGACGCCACGTCTCACTGTGACGCAACGGTGTCACGTAAAAAAAGAACCCTAATTTTTCCCCACTAAGCCTACATGCCACAGACAGCGGGATCCCCTGCGAAAACCTCGCCAATAGAGCTGTGTCGGCTTAAAACTGTGCGTAGCGCAACTTCGTCTGCTAATTTTTGCAGGGGTTGTGGGGACTTCATAACGCCGAGCTCTGATTGGCTCTGATTGAAGGGTAGGGGGTAGACCTCAAAGCAAGCTGCCTCGAGGTCTACCCACTATCCTTCGACCAGAACCAATCAAAGCTGGGCGTTCTGACGTCACCACAATCCCTACAAAAAGAAGCAGACGAACTTGCGCTCCACATAAGGTGCCTTAGAAAGTGTCTCCGACTGGTGAGTTTATCCCCTCCAGAAAAGTGGTCCCTCGATTCCTGCCCGATGACGCTTCAGAAATGTCGCGCTGTCGCCGGCAACGATCCAAGCGGTGTCGCAGTGGCCGTAGCGAATGCGGCGCAAGTTCGCTCCCCAGCTTGACAGTCGACGGAAGATTCGGCTGTCGGTAGTTGGGACGCTGGAACGTCAGCGACGCTCTCGTGCCAGCCCGTACCTTGTACGCGGATTTCTAGCGCCAACCGCGAGGATCGCGACATCCCGCAGCATGACACTCAGGATCAGCGCTCAGGATGGATGAATGGATGGATGTTACTGGCAATAGACATTGTAACGAGCGGTAACTTGCGCCACCTAGCCTAAGTCTAAAAAGACGAATATGAGTCCTCCCGCCATTCTCAGCCAATTTTCTCACCCTAAATAACACCGGCTTCTGTGGCGTCATTTGCTGCTACTTTGGGATCACTCTTGATGTATGGGCGAATATAAGGCACTACACGGAACAGTGAAACACCTGTTCCATGCTAGGTACTAAAACGAACCGGCTGCCGAGTAGAGGGTAGGAAGCCAATCGGTGACGTGCATCATCTGGTCCGAGACGACGCCCTTGCGCTTGAGCAGGGGACTCCAGATGAAACCGGTCGCTCTGCAGCCTCCTTCCCAGAGGGTGCCCTTTCCGCCACGCAGGGGGAAGTTGAAGCCCCGATTCGATTGAAAACCTATCGGGAGCCCTCCGTTGTCGGAGCTGAGCACGATGATTGTATTCTCCAAAATGCCGGCGTCGCCCAGTGCTTGGAACACCTCCCCGATGGACTCGTCTAGAGCGTCCACCATTCCTGCGCGATCATTTTGGCCCCGTCAAACAAACTGGACGTCTGTATCTTTAACCAAACGTGTATAACAAAAAACAAACAAAGATAAATGTTTCACTTTACAGCCTATTCCACTTAAAGTGAGCAAATGTATTCTCTTACTCCCACCTTTATAAATAACGGCTGTTATCGATACACTTCTCATAGACATGGTAACTCTGGAGCCCAGGGACAGAAAAGTGATGGACAGACAGGAAACTCCTAGTTTCGTGTCTGTCCGTCCCCTTCTTCGTCCCCTCGCTCCAGGGTTACCATGTCGATCCTTAACCAGCCCTACTGATTTTGCACTTCTCATAATCATGTGAAGGGTTATTTATAAATACGTGTAGCAATCCGAAGAACAACGTTGTAGAAACGGGAAAGGCTTGTTCAGATATTCGCGATCGATTATGAACGACTGGGTCATGAACGACCACCAGTGACTGCTTATGGCAAGATGTTTGCTATGGCAGCCGAGAACCGCGCAACTCGCCATAGTGCAGCGGAAGACGTTTTAGCTAAAATTGTCACACCCAAACGCAAATGTCTGAACTAGCGTTAAAGAGACACTGAACTGAAATTTTTAAGAAACGTATTGAGACACGTATGTATTTGTTTATTTATCCACGAGAAAAAAAAAACATTCGTGCAATATTTAGGCCGCTAACGCCATTTAGGTGAAGGTCACGGCCCGCTATAAACCCTGCAGCCCACAGATCAAAGGCCCCACCCATCACTACTGTATTTGCTTGGCTACTCGGCCGAACACGCTCGCAAGTATAGTTAGTGCCTCCCTGTCGCGATGTCCGGTGCGTCTAGTCTGGCATCTGACACCGCCTCTAGCCGTGCGAGCGCACGCGCGGCAGCCTCCCGCATCGATTGCTATTGTACTACCGTTTATGATCGTCTGCTTATGCCAGCAAAACTCGACCATGCAAGCGGAGCGTCGGCGTCCACCATCGCTTGCGTTCGTCTGCTATTCGGAGCGCAAGTTCGTCTGCTTATTTTGCAGGGGTTGCGGTGGCGTCAGAACACCGAACTCTGATTGGCTCTCATGGAAGGATAGTGGGTAGTCCACAAAGCAAGCTGCCTTGAGGTCTACCCACTATCCTTCGATCAGAGCCAATCAGGGCCAATGACGTCACCAGAACCCCTGCGAAGGAAGCAGACAAACTTACCCTCCGCATTCCTCTCCCGCCTAAAATTGTCTGCTTGCTAGCGTTCCATCAGGCACAAGCCACAGTCCAATACAAGTGTCTCTCAGCGTTTGTTGGTGCGCGATAGAAAGCGACCTAAATGACTACAAAAATGTATCAAAATAAATATACAGTCTTTCACCTTTTTTTGCTTTTTGCATAGTGTTCGCGAGTTAGGTGAATCAGCCTCATACCGCAAAATTAAAACTCGACCTAAGAATATCGGCTCCAGCAAAACCATGTACACTGCTCAAAACTTGAGTGCTACGGGCCTTCCGAATAAAAAAAAACTTGTACACCCGACTGCTTCCAGCGAAGTGGCTCGCAAATTCTTCCCTGTGTAAGATACCTCTCAGAACTAAAACCATAGGTCGCAATGACGACAGTTGCACGATTCTCAAAGTAGGGGCCGCTTTTACATGAACCGACACATTGATTCGGCATCAAAACGCCCAAGCGAACAAATCAAGCCAGATCGAGCAAAATATTTGACGTGGGACGCTATATGCTTACGCCAGTCCCGCTATGAAAACAAGCTCCCGCACAGCGCTTCCGAAGGCGTGTACTTATGACAGTTGTTTTCTGCAAACAACGTCGGTTGAGACATTGCCTCGTCTATACTCACAAGGCCTGGCAGTTGGGCGACGGAGCCATAGGGTGCCCGGTCGCAGATTTGGAGCGCGAGGATCTGGTAGCACAGAGCATTTTTGGGGAACCTGGAGGTCAGCGCACAGCTTTGGCAGCGGCGAGAACCCGAAACATGCTTTTGAAACCCGACGAGAAAAGAAGCGGTAGCGCGAGGAACGCGAGGAGCACGAGCGCACATTTCATCGCTCGGGAGAAGTGTGTTTCGGTGTCTCGCCGCATCGGGGCGCCCGTAACGTGGCTCTCCTATCATCCGTTGTCGGCCGCTCTACCTTTTCAATTTCGGCGGCCGCTTCTCGTGGCGATCTGCCAGGAGGATATGGTTGAGATCTTCGTCTGAACAGTTTGGTTAACGCGAAACAACTGGCACTCACAACTACAGACGAACTCAAGGAGTTACGCGGTGTGAGAAACTGCTCGCTGCAGACGCCGGCAGCCATGTTTGTTATCGTTTTGAAAACGAAGCGGAAAAGGCAATCTCATGATATTTGTGAAGACCATAATGACTATCTACACTTTAAAGAAAGCCGCGCGTCTACTTTCCCGCACAACACTCGGAGAGCCAATCACCGCAGCACACGGAGGCTGCTTAGCAAATAAGGATTCCGAAACACATGTTTAGACCAAAAAACGCAGTCTGAGTTGTGACATTAAGCAATGCAAGCGTTACGTTATGCGTTGCTTAAAGTCGCAACTCAGACTGCGTTTTTTGGTCTAGACATATGTTTCGGCATCGTCATTCGCTGAGCTGCCTCCGTAAGCTGCGGTGATTGACTCTCCGATGGTTGTGCGAGAAGTAGACTCACGGGCTTTTTTTTTAGAGTGTACATAGTTTATTTATCAAACATAAAAATATCTCGAATAAAAGACTGCAGAGGAAAGGAGAATCAATTGTACCAAACCTTCCACACGTCAATCATCTCTCCATCCATTGAGAGCCAAGAAGCGGTGCTTAGCCAGCTAAGTACCTTTTGTTATAAGTGGGACCGCACGGCTACCCCTACCCAATATTGCGTCTGGCGGTGAAAATATTGAGCTAAAAATATTGTTCTTTGTCGGCGTTTTTAAATGCGTGTCTCATCTAGGCTTAAAAAAGTATTATTTTTTATTTCTGCGCTCCTTTAAGAGGGCAAGGGGAAAACCGTTTTTGAAACCTGTTTATTGACGCGTGGAGTTACATCAGTTTTGGGGCCGACGCGAAACGGTTGCAACAGAATCCGTGTCTGAGTGTCACTCTTATTTCCTACATCCAGTTTAATTTCTTGATTCAGTTGCGGCGTTATATGTCCAATCAAACCTAAAGGTCGCCTTTGACCCGAAGAGTAAAGTAATAAAATTTCGTGTAAATACTTTAATCGAGCATAAAAGAGCAAAATCATTATGCTCGATTGTACGTTGAATCACATACGCACGACTTTAGCATTTCTTTTAAGTTGGGTGTTGGACGCTATTTATAGCAATCATTTTAAGGTTTAAGTTACGTTGGCAGTGTTGCTTTATATGTTGTACATGGTGTAAATATTCTTAAAATATAAACATGATCCTCTCAAAAATGCAACTCAAAAAAGATAAAACATAAAAGTTTATGTTACGGTTACGCCAATTTTTCTAAATACAAATAAAAACTTCAACGACTTAAAACGTTTCTGGATCCCTTTGATTCCATTATCCAACCAATGCCTGAAAACATGGCATTTGTTTTCCTAGTGCTAAAGTAGGAGTGTGTATACACGCTGTTTATTTTTAAGCTTAACATATTTGTTATAAAATAAGCCGCGCAAGCTGCACTAATGCGGTCTATGCAGGCTAATCATACGGCCAGGGGGAAGTAGTATAGAAGGTTAATCGTAACAATCAATCGGCTAATTAATTAAAATATGTTAAATAACTTTTTAAATATTGAAATTAAACATATGGTTCTAATGAGAAGCTTGCTGAGCTTCACCGAAAAACACTAAGGGCCGGTTGCACCAACGCCGCTTACCTTAACCCAAAGCGGCGCTTTCCTAAGCCGGCTTAGCGCCCTAAACCGAGCTTAGGTAAGCACGGGTTTAAATTCCGGTTGCACCAACGTTAAGCCGGCTTTACAGACGCGCCCCTAGCCAAACGCTGGATTTTGCGTAGGGAATCTAGGGACAAACAGAGCAAACTAGGGAACGCTCAGAGCGACGAATGCTATTGGCGGAGAAGAATCACGTGATGTAAGCAAAAAAAAAGAAAAAAGAAAAACTGCCGTAGTAGTCGTCGTCGGCGTCTGCTTTTCGCGGTATTTCTTCGGTGAGTAACAAATTAAAGGCCTCCAAATTCAATCATTTTTTTCGTTTAACTTTCAATAACAGAAGTCAAAGCTTCAAATAAACACGAATGCTCTTTACATCTTTGATTGTGTGTTTAATATCGGTTGATAACAGGATATTTTGACAGTGGTAGTAGTTTTCGTGCTCACATTTTGAGGCGAAGGAGCCATCGGGGGCCCCAAATCTCACCGAACGCGAGAAGGACACTCTACTCGCTACATCGCTGAAGACAAAACATCATGGATATAAGTAGGCAGGTAAGATGACTACTAAAACCAAGTCAAGCCTGAGACCGATGAAGTTCAAAACAGTGACGAACTCGCCACGGCAGCTGCGAAAATGCCCAGAAATCTTCGAATAGAAGTCGTCGAGAGGTCAGGTCAAGAGTCCTTGCATCGACGGTACTCGTTGCTATCAGCAAGGTGACAGCACTGCACTGTACCGTCGTTGAACATCCGCTGCAGCCTCAAACGGACTTCAGTTTCACACTGTCGAGTTCAGAAAAAAAAAAAAAAAAAAAACTCCCACTAGTACATTACATCGTGCCGATAAGAACGGTCGTCTCTTCGCATCACCTGCCCCAGCCTGCCCCGATACAGCAATTAACGAATCTAACATAGTAGTCGTTACGATTTGTCCTCACCACGAATGAAAGATATAAAGCAAAATATTCCTAAAAAACCGCGATCACCAAAAACGTTACGGAGGACACAACAAGGCGCAACTTTCAACTGTATTTTATTGAAAACGTGTTCCGGTATATAGTCTCAACCATCGTCACAATGACAACAAACGACAAAAGTAAAGGGAAAACACCATCACAGAGCACAACTCGGAAACAACAGTA